GAATTAGGGATTTTTATGCTACTACGGTAACAGTACTTACTTAGATTGTGTTGTTTTAAATGGATTTTTGTATTTTGCTTCTTTAAGACTTGCAAATGGGCAATTTCTATATCAATCTTTTCAATTGAATTGTCCTGGTTCAAATTTTGAATTTCTTCAAAAATTTAACAAAACTTTATATGTATTATTAATATTATTAATATAAAAGTATTAATAATAAAGAATATAGAATAATAATTATTACCTTCAAGTTGATTATTATCATTTTCTTTATTTAATTCATCAAGTTCTTCATTAGAAGTTTCATCAGTATCTTAAATTTGTCATATTTTAGCCAAAGTTGCAACTTGAGGATGTGATGATTGAATAGAATTTGTTGTAGGAAGATCTTCAGAATATTGTTTTCTTTAATAATCATTTTAGCTTTTTCTTCCCAGTGGCATATAAAATCAGCTTTCTTTTTAATATAATTTTATTTATAACATACTATAAAATAAAGTATTATTAATATATATTATTAGAGTAGTATTAAAATAATTTACCTCCTCATATATTGACATAAAAAAGGTCAATATTTAACACAATTATTAAAACAAAGAAATTTTTTTGCTGCTTTCTAATACCAATATTCTCAGGAATTAAAGATATGATATTCACTTGCTTTAATAAAGTTTTCATAAAACTCTAAAATAAAAAATTAAATTCAGATTTATCAATTAAAAAAATCAAAAAAATATACCTTTAAAGCAAGAAAAATCTTTTGGTCAATATTTGTATACTGTGAAATATTGGCTTTAGTTAATCATTTTCCTTGAGAATCATATTTTGGTTTTTCAATTAGCAAGTTAGAATTCATAGTAGCTTCAGAATTATTTGAGCAAATAGTAGCAGCTGAAGCTGGTATAGTTAAAAAGTTAAAGATGAAGTATGCAAATTAAACTATTTATTATTTTTTGTTTGTTTTGAAATATGTAAAAATTAGATCAAAAAATTTTTTACGTTTAATAATTATATACAGATCATATTTATTTAAATGATAAAATATTTAAAGATAAATTAATGACATAGTTTTTTAAAAAATTTGCATCATGTATTAGTATTAATTAATAATGATATCATAATTGACATCATATTATAATTATTATTATAGTCAATATTAATTAAATACTATAATATATAAGATGTTATAATTATTATTATAGTTAATATTATATTAATTAAATATCATAATATATAGTTATTATAATTATTATTATAGTTAATATTAATTAAATATTATAATAAATAAGTTATTATTATTCTAATGTACAAATTTGGTATTAGTTGCATAATCATTCCAGCCTAGTTCTATAATGTAGAGTTCTGTATTATAAATTAAGAATTAATTGTGCCAAATCTGGGTTCCGAATCAGTTCAGTTCCGTCATACATTCAGTTTTAGTTCATAACTGTTTCATAATGTGCATTTTGCCAGTATTAATTGCGTAATAATTCCAAATCAGGATTCCGAATCAGTCCCGTACTCCATAAAAAATTTTGGCCTGGGAAACTGTATCATATTCTGAAGTCATTCTGTATTTAAGATCAATTTCGTAAAAATTCCAGAAAAGATTTATACCAAAATTCAATATTAGTATCCTGTTATTGATAAAATTTTTCTTATTTCTTTTAATTTATCTTTTCAAAATTACAAAGATTCTCAAATGTTTAGAATTGTTTAATTAATTTAACGTAATTATTATATAATAAAAGAAGATTTTTAAATGATATAAATATTTTATATGAATATTTAGTTATAACTCTCTAATAAGAGTCAAAGCATCATGATTAGTATAATCACAATCTATTCATCCAACTTTAATTCTTTATAAGAAAGCTTGTTAAAATTTATGAATTTTACAGATAAAGCTGAAATACAAATTATCTCTTAGTATATATGTATATATATTATTGTAGATTTCTTTAATTTGATAATATGAAAATTTTGTTAAATATCAAATACTAATTAATTATTTGTATATAATTTCTGAATTTTGATATTTTAGTATTTTTCAAAATAATTTGGCAAATGTTCTTAATTCTCTATAAGTTCAAATCTAGCATTATTCGGAAGATTCATCACAAAATTATATGATACTTTCAAAATCTATATAATTAATAGAAATTTATAAATTCTTAACCAATTTGACAAAATAAAGGAAATTTATAAAAATGTAAAATATATAAAATAAATACTCAAATCCAGGTAATATAGTAATAAAAGAATGTCATAAAGATAATTTTATATCTATTTTTCTTTTTATTGTAATTTTTAATATATACAATAGAAATTAGATCAATAATATAAGTGTGCGAATAATAGATAATACTTAAAAGATTTAGTTGTCAAAGTTCTACTTGTCATTATAAAAATAATATTTATTAGGATTATTCCAATTATTGATAACTCTAAATATATTAATTATGCTAATTTGGATGTAGTTGATTTTAAATTATTATAACTTTATTAATTATTATATTTTTAATTGTTTATCCTTTTCTTATAATTTGGAAAAGTCATAGTTTCTGATTGTAATTAGATGATGAAAATAATCGTATCATTAATCATTAATTAATAGCGATAATTTTCCTTATGATATCGAGAGATAATATAATAATTCTTATTTTGAAATATGATTATGTAAATTCTATTTTATTAAAATGATTACTGTTTTTTATGTAAAAATAGAAGTTTTACATTCTAATATTAACATCCATATGATTACGATAAATAATAAATACTGGTTAAATATTAGTTAAACATGTAAAATTTGGGAAACATGCTATAAGAAATAGTGAGATGTGACCAGTTAAATATGATAATGCGCGAACTCATATCTAACTTCATCTTTTATCAAATAAATAATGATAATATATTTTCATAATTATTATAATAAATATAAGATTACATATGTTAGATTTAAAAATAAACTTATAAAATATACAGTATGACCTCTTTATAGTCACCTTTTATATTGCCATATTTTTCATTTTTCAAACAATTATAAATATAAGAAATATGACCGCCATATAATCACAACTTCTCTATAGTCACAATTCTTCGTATTCAGATGGTGTGACTATAGAGAGGTCAAACTAAACTATAGTATGCTTTGTATATATGTGTAATTTATTTTAAATTAAATACATGTAATATATGTACATGTACTTTTTGGTGATTACTGTATTGTGTGCATGTGATGTACGTTTTGCAATATTTCTTTTTAAACGAATATCAAATCATCTATTGGCATTCAGTTTTTCTAGAATCTAGAATCTTATCCCTGAATAATTAAGTAATTTTTTATGTGCAGCCCATAAAAATATGACTATATATGTTTATAAAACATGCGGAAATATGTATATGAAACTTTTTACATGTATTCACTGATAAATAAATAAATAAATCGAACATGCAAAGCATAAAAATTATAATATAAACAATTTTACATATAAATATGCAAATTATACAGCATTTTATAAAATCATACCCCCGAATTTCAAAAAAAAGAATTCTGATATAAGATATTGATAAAACTTTGTGAAAATATATTTTATAAATTATTTCTGTATGATAAATAATTAATACTTATATTGTTCTTGCAAAAAATATTTTTATTTGTTGCAAGAAGAATTGAAAACTACTATATCTGTATTATTTATAAAATACAGGCTAAATACATTTTGTATACCAAACAAATATTATACAAGAAAAAGCAAGTTTTAATATGTTTTTTAAATTTCAAATTCAAAACTTTATAAAAAGATCTATATTTATAATTAGATAAATTATAACTTGTTATGTTATACAAGTATTCTAACTGTAATTTTGCATTGAATAATCTATATTACAACTAAAAACATGTATAAGTTAATTAAACAAATTTAATGTCATAGCAACTTCCTAATATAATAGTTTTAAGAATAACATATATAAATTCTTTAAATGAAATAAGACTTAGCAAACAATAGATTAATACATGTGATTTCATCAGGAAGTTTTAGAAAAAATGTAAAACGTGATGCAATCTAATAGAGGATATTGCCCAGTTCAAAATTATATAGTAAAGCATATAAAAAATCCAAGCTATATACATATTCATGTTTTTTCTAGTAATTTATTTCTAAATTTTATATCATTTTAAAGCTTCATGAGTTATATTTTTAGATAAATAATTCTCAGCGTGGATGATCTTAAGTGCAAAGAGTATTTTGATTGTAAATTTATCCCACAATTTTTATATGAAAAAATTTTTCTCCCACACTTTACATAAATTTTCAAGCCATATACATATTCATATTTCTATTAATAATTATTATACTATTTTTTAGTGCTGTGAACGACTTAAGATGCAAGAACTGTTTTAATTATAAAATTATGAAAGATAATTTATATATATTTTACTATATAAATTAACTATGTCCAAATGGTACAGTAATTATATATCAAATGCCAACACTGTTCGTTGAATATCTGATATACATGTATATATTTATCAATATAAGAATTGATAGCCATTTTGAATTAGGTCATGGTTAGAGTTAGAATCAGAGTAAATATTACATTTACGAATATATAATATTTTTTATTAGTTTCATAGGCAAACTCTCGAGATCTAAGTAAAGGTGAGTTACAATTGTTATTTTATTATAAAGCATTTAATTAAAACTTAAAAATCTTCTACTAGCAAAAATTCTTTATTTTTGTTGATTTTCTAAACTTCTCTAATTGACTACTTTGTTACATTGCATAAATTTAATATGTTCAAACTTGATAATTTAAATATAAAAACAATTAATAGTTTCTAAGAAAAATTCTTTTACACTGTCAAAAATTATAAGAAAGTTTAATACAAATTTTCAAACTATTAACTATATAATATAATAAATGTAAAAATCATGATATTGTTATGATATTAACAGTTATCTTGAATACCATACTTTAATGTCTCGATTAAACTATTACTCGCTTACACACAGATTACCATGAGCAGGATTCGATACATCAATAACAGTAATAGTATTTCCGCAGAGATTAATGGATACATCTACAAATGCTTGAATGATATTGCCACTAACAATGCCAGGTGAATCTTTAGCATTGCCTTCAGCTTCATTTCTTTTTAACTTAGGAATCGGTATTGCAGCAGCCATGGATAAAAACAGGATGGTAGTAAAATATACGAGAAAACGATCTATATATTTAAAATTCATTTTTGGGATATGCCTTGAAGAATGTACTTTCAAGAATTTTTGTCTTATTTGATAATAAGTTTAAAGTTTCTCTATTTAAAAGAAAGAAACAAATTATATGTATATAAATATACATGTATTTCTATCTTACATATATGTACTTCTCTTAAAGAGAAGGAGCACATATAGTTACATAATGCATGTACTTTTATTACGCTTTCTCTATGATGATGCACTATTTATTCCAACAAGAAACAAAGAATACTTTTTGTTCACAGCTTCATTTCTATTTTGATTATTCACACATGCATAAGCTATTATCGCACATGCATACAAAACACACGTATTCTAGGTGAAAATAATATGGAGTGAGTTTTAGATAAATCTTGTTGTATAAAATACCCGCATTTGAGATCAAAAATACTAACTATACAGGGAACAACAATTAAAATTTGTATTACCGAATTTTATGTAATATCACTAAGATGACATACGTATAATGTACAGGATTTAAACTTCATATCATGTTATTGTTAAGAAGTAGTGGCTACGTTTGGAGTAACATTCGGATTCAGGTGTTTGCTATTTATTTGTAGTAGTTCATGGCGTAGCAATACGTGATATGATGTCAATTACAAAAAAAAGATTGAAAATTTTTAATTTTTGATTAAATGTTTCGTTTTGAATAGTATTATTTGTTATTTCTTGAGTATTTATTTGATATTAGAACTAAGCAAGTATGAATTAACTTATAATTTTTCTGAAAATTATTTAAATTATTTTGCAATTTCAATAACTTATTATACCATTACATTTTCTCTTATAAGAACATTTGCTTAAAAGTAATCTTTTAATTTCTGATAATATTTATTTTTAATTTAATAAATAAAATGATGAAATTTATTTATGAAATATCTTTTCTAAATATTAATTTATGTTCAGAGATATTATATATTTTGTCATTTTTCTCTCTTTCTCTTTAATTATATATACAGTCAGACCTCTCTAAATGCAACTTGCTTGGACCAACTTTTGACGTCGTGCATTATAGAACAATAAGAAAAATTATATTTATAGAGATATATTTGTTCAAAAATTTGAGCACATATTAGTATTTAGAGAGGTTGGCTGTACAAAAAATACTCGTGATTTAATTTTAATAAGTTATTTGGCTGCTTATACAATTCATTTTTATACATGTACAGGCAACAATAAACTAATAATCGATGCTTATAATAAAAATATCATATTTTTTATATAAATATAAAAATTATTCTTAGTATAGAATTGACTTACATACAAAAAATAATGTAGCACCACTTAATACAAGCATAATATATTTAAAAGCTTTCATAAATTATTACTATAGAATTTGGTTTATATCATTCAAATTTTCAAAGTTCATGTATTAATATACACATTTTACTAAGTAATTCAAAAATGAAATTAAATATGATTGATTGCAGCAAAATAAGTTATACATTGAAATACTGCGGAGAATTTTTAAATTGAATTCATTAGGAATATTTAATATCATATACGAATTAATAAATTTGGATGGTCTGGTGAAAAAAAGATATCGATAATCTAATAAAAAAATGCAATGAAATGAGATATGGGTTATTCATGGATTTCTTTTGAACATTTACTAATGTTTAATATTTTATGAAAGGAGATTTTACGGCAATTTAAAAGAATCCTAGTTGGAAGTACCATTATAATTAGATAGTAGACTTATATATGACGAAGCAAAATTGAAATGATTTTTACTTTATCTATTCTAACTTTATCCAGAAACAATTTCAAACAGAATAATTCGTATTTTCAGTACTGCAACATTTTAGGATATTCTAAAACGGAAGAAGAAATTAAGGAACATCTT